TCGGGCGCGGGCGCCGCCGCCCGCGGAGGCCAGCGGCACTCGGACCTTCTCGTCGGATGTCAGATCCTCCCTCGACTAAGGCACCCCGAGGAGCGGGCTACTGCCTCTGGAAGCAGACGATCCACCGCCGCGCTGCGGCGCCCCAGGGAGCGGGCCACCGCCGCGAGTATAAGCTGCCTTCTCGGCGCAAGCCAGCTCATCCTTCACCTGAGGCGCCACGGGGGGGGGGCCGCTGCCTCTGGCGGTAATCGCTATCAGCGGTAGTCGCACCGCCACCGCCGCCTCGCGGCGCCCCGGGGAGCGCGCCATTGCCGCAGAAATGCGCCACCTGCTGGGTCGCGAGCTCCTCGGCGTCGAAGGCCAGGTCGTCTCCCGCGCGATTTATCACAAGCTGTGGGATCAGTCGGGGCGCGCACGCGCGTCCTGGGGAGCCGCTCCCAACGGGACTGGCTCCCCTGGGCTGCTCCTGTACATGGCTGCTCGCGAGCCAGCGGGCGCCCCTGCCCTCGCATGCTGACCTGCGACGCGCTGCCTCGCTGTCCTCCTGGCGGCGGCCGGAGAACCAGCGGTCGCCGCTGCCCTCGCTTGCTGGCCCTCGCCGCTCCTCAGGGGTTCGGGCCGAGCAAAGACGCAATCGGCTGGCAGACCGCCCGCTGGCGACGAGCTCGACGCGCAGGAGGCGGCCGCCCCTCTCCCGCCCACCTCGCGGCCAGCCCCCTTCTGGGCGGTCTGCGGGGGGCATTCAGGCACCCCCCGATCGCCGTCAGGACTCCGCGCCACCGCGGCCTCGCTGCTGCCCGTCGCCCGAGCAGTCGTCTCCACTCGGGGCAGGGCGCTGCTGCCAGCTGCGTCGAGCAAGAGGCGCGCCTTACCAGCGAAGGATAACTGCCTCCTAGCTGCCACCTCACAGGGCTGGCTGCGCGGCTGCTGCGCCTCGCGGGATTCGTTCGCCGCCGGCGCATCGACGCCGTCGTCGCGGACATGCCGAGTGGGATCCTTTCTCGCGTCGAGCCTCTGGGCAGCGTGGCAACCATCACTTGGCACGGGGTACGTGGAGCTCGCCGACAGCGCCCTGCCCCGCGCGCTGTTTACCACGCGGATGCACCTGGGGGCAGGTCCTAGCAAAACCTTCGGCGACTGTGCCCAACCCCTCGCGCTGTTGACCTCGTAGGTGCACCTGGAGGCTGGGACTTGCGTTCTAACGCCTGCTGCCTCGTGCTCCGTGACGGCAGAGGCGTTGGCGAGCTCGAGGTTGGGCCGATCCCCCTCGCGAGCCGACCCGCGGCCCCCGCCGTCCGCCTGCGCCCGGGCCCTGAATGTAGACGATGTCCCGCCCAGAGGAATGCACATCTCAGGCCGCCTGGGGGAATGCTTGTCCAGCGCCAGGGTCAGCGGCAGCAGCCAGAGGACCAGTCTCCGTAACTCCTGCTCCTCTCGACGACGCGCGGGGCGGCCTCGCGACTGGGGCGAGCAGCGCCGCCTGCTGCCTCGCGCTCCGTGACGGCACAGGGGCTTTGGCGAGAGCCGCTTTGGGATCGGCGGTTCGCGCGGGGTTGGGCCGATCTCCCACGCGGATCGGCCCGCAGCCCCCGCCGCCCGCGCATGCGACACTGGCCTCCGATGAAATAGCTGCCCCCAGTCCAGAGGAATGCACCTCTCCGGCCACCCAGGGAAATACTGGTCCAGCAACGGGGAAAGCAACAGCCAGGGGGCCAGGCTCGGCAGCTCTTCCTCTTCCATTGGCGACGCGCGAGACGGCCCTGCGACTGGGACAGACCGTGCAAACGCGCCTGGCCACCGCCCTTCGGACTCGCGCGCGCCGGGGAGGTCTCTTGGCCCTGGCGGCCGAGTGCAGCGCCGAAGAAACAGCCCTGCACCCTGTCCCCTTCCTGGCAGCTTCGGGCCGCGCCCCTAGACCAATCCTCTTCAGTGGCACTTGCCGCGGCGCGAAGGCAGCCCGCGACGCGCGGCCCTAAGGGCCCCGCCCAGGAGGCGCCCCGCTGCTGCCGCGATAATTCCGCAGCCTTCGCAGGCCACGCGTCCAAGCCCAGGCCGGGCCTCATCCTGTGCGAGGTGCGCGGGCTGCCGCGGCCGACGTGGGCGACGCCGCTGGCGAGCTGCAGCGCGCCGTCGCCTGCTGCCCGCAGGTCGGGGCAGGGAGAAGTGTTAGGGCGCGCGAGTGGAGTGCGATGCTGAGCAGCGACGACGCCTGCAACCTCCACTGTCGTCCAGCTCATCCGAGGAACTGAAGGCTGCAGCGACCCGTGGCAGGTGGAGCTCTCCGAACCCTCCACTGGCTGCGCTGCTCCCTTGGATGCTTCCCTTCGGCGTCGATGGCGTCCAACGTTGCGCGAAGAATCCTCCGCCTGACCGGGAGAGCGCCCCTCTCGTTGGCGATGGCCCTGGCGCGATCCGCCGCCGTCGTCCTCGCCCCCTCGGCAGCCTGGCCAGCGAAGATGTCGGCGACGGCGTTGCCGATGACTAGCCACGTCGCAACCCCTCGGGGTCCAGCCTCAGCGATTTCCACATGCGAACGAACGTGGGGTACCACAAACTCGCTCCTGGGCCTCGCCCGACATGCCCTGGCCAACTCGAGCCAGAGATCGACGTCCTCGCCGTGCGGTTGCTGGTCGCGCCTCCTCCACCAGCCTTCGCAGGCCGCCAGGCTGTTGGAGCGAAAAAGAGTAGGGCCAATGGACCCCTGCGCAGCAAGGGGCAATGCTCGCAACTCGCCTCGATGCACCATGTGCTGTGGCCCTGCGAGCCCATCGAACGCGGCCCGCACCACGGCGCCGTCGCATGCCCGGACACGAACCACTGCAAGGCGAACCCTCCCGAGCAGGGGCGAGCTGCCCTCAGGACCACCACTGGCGTCGCTGAAGAGGACGAACGGCGCGGCGGCGGTGCCTGCTCCAAGCGTCCTGGGGCCGAAGGTCCCGCACTGCAGGCCTGTCTCCAGCGTTCAGCAATCGATGTCGTTGGGCGGGTCCACTGTCGCCCACGCGGATGGGATGACCCCGCGAAGCCAGAGGCGCGCGGGAGGAGGAAGTCGCAGTCCTCGTAGGCCTTGCTGTCGCTATTGCAGGGACAGCTCCAGCAACGTCGAAGTGTGGTCTCATCCTCAAGTCTGCAACGCGGACGTCGCCCACACTCGCTGGTGCCGAAGACCTCTCTCCTGCGGCCACGGGCAATGAGCCACCCACTGCAAAGGTGGCGGGCAGATCGTCGAGGGAAGCGCCCCCAGGGAGGGAACTGAGCGTCTTGAGCAGCGCCTGATAAGAACACATGTCGGCGCCGCCCTCGGGCTCCCCAGCCGCACCAGTGGCGAGCAGCCCGTTGCAAGCGGTCTTCCTGGATGGACTCGTCCAGCGCCTCGGGCACCCTCCTGCTGGAGCCCTCGGTGATACTGGCCACGTCGGGGAAGACCCACCTGTCGCGACTGCAGTCGGGTCGCAGGCGCTCCCAACCCATGGGGCCGACTGGGTTCCAACCGTGCTGCAGCAACAGAGCCTGAAAACAGCAGACGCTGGGCTTATCACTAGCCGCGGGCGGTGGGTGGGCTCGGGCCTCCCGCAGACGGGCGTGGATGGGAATCCACGCCCGAGCGACTGGCTGGCGCAGATCTTGGGTACGCCTCCAAACATCGAGCCAGCAGCTGACCATCGCCCTCGGCAGCTTCCTTGCAAGGTCCTGCGGTCCCGCTCTGAGCGCCGGCTGCGAGGTGAGGCGCTGCCCCCGACGAGAGGCGCCCGTAACAGCTGCCAGCCGCCTGCGGAGGGCCTGCGGCTGGCTGCCGAACGTGCCGTAGGCCTCCTGCCCGAAGGTGGCCGCCGTCTGGACCCCGACCTTCTCGAAGAAGCCGACCTTGCAATACTTGCGGGAAACGTGGGCCTTGCCTCGCAAGCATCCGTGAGCACCCTTGGCCCTTGGACTTGAGGAGGAGGGAGGAGGAGGAGGAGGAGGAGGGAGGAGAGGAGGAGGAGGGGAGGAGGAGGGGAGAGGAGGGGGGAGGAGGACGAGGAGGAGGGACGAGGAGGAGGAGGACGGAGAGGAGGAGGAGAGGAGGAGGAGGAGGAGGAGGAAGAGGAGGAGGAGGAGGAGGGAGAGGAGCGGAGGCCTTTTGGAGACCTCCGAGGACATACGACGCCCCAGACATGGATCCTCGCCCTGATGATTCGCTTATGTTCGTGCCCCTGCGCCGCCCTTTGGAAAAAGGCAGCCGTTCTGGTCCAGACCACCACGCGCGAACCGCGGTTATCTTCTCACCCCTGGGCGGCGCGAAGATAACCGCGGTCCTCCTCCTCCTCCTCCTCCTCCTCCTCCTCCTCCTCCTCCTCCTCTGCCTCCTCCTCCTCCTCCTCCTCCTCCTCCCTCGTCCTCCTCCTCCTCCTCCTCCTCCTCCTCCTCCTCCCTCCTCCTCCTCCTCCTCCTCCTCCTCCTCCTCCTCCTCCCCGTTCTCCTCCTCCTCCTCCTCCTCCTCCTCCTCCTCCTCTTCCCCTCCCCCGTCCTCCTCTCTTCCTCCTTTTCTTCCCCCTCGGTCCTCAGTGCCCCTCCCAGGCGTTGCGGAAAGTGGGGGCAACGAGCGGTGTGGCGAAGAAGGGTGCGCCTTTCGTACACCTTCGGGTCCCCGTGAGGGCGGCCCCTTGAACGTTTTGTTTCTGCAGCCCTCGATCCCCCTTCATGCGTCGCCCCCCATTCGGGTCAGGAGCTGTTGTGTATCGTCTCGCGGCGGCGGCCCCAGCGACACGCCATGCCGTGCGAACGGATAGCGTGCCGCTCTGCCCCGCGTGGCGGACGGCTCGGAAAAGCTCGGGCCGCCGACGCCTGGGAATGGTGACGCGGACAGCGTGTCGCCCCGAAGCGTGCGGGCCAGGGCCGGCGGAACGACACGCCGAGCCGAAGTTCCTGCGACACGCCCGACCGTCTGCTTCCCGCTCGCCTGCGGGCAGAACGCGCGCCCTCGAAGGGCGCGGGCGCGCCGATGCCACGCGCGCGGTGTCCTGCCGCGCGCCGGAGCCGCCCGTGGCGCCCTCCACCGCCGCCGCCTGGGAGGCCTGCGCCGGGGGGGGGGTTGGGCTCGGGCTTCGGCCATCCCCTCGCCCCTTCCTGCTCATATCCCTCCCTCCTACCGCCTCCCTCCCTCCTTCTTCCTCGCCCCTCATCTGTCATCCCTCCCCCCCTTCTCCTGCTCCTTCTCGTCCTCCTCTCTAGCATACGTGGCTCAGGGACCCGTGGCCCTGAATCGCACCTCGATGCCTCAGCGTGGCGCTTGAGTGGCAACTCGTCTCCAATGCCCGCGCACTGTCGATCGGATTGGCCAAGCCGAGGCGAAGTAACACGTGTTCTGTTTTTTTTGCGGTTGTGCAGAAATTGTATGCGACTGGGCATTGACCAGAGGCAAACCAGTTTGGATACTATCATCTCAGCGCTTTAGTCTATGGCGCTGTGACTTTAGAATGGGTGGCAACGGTTATTTCGCCCTCCCTGGCGGTCGGAGAGCTAGGGTTGTGCCCGTGTGGCTCACCGCTAGGGCTTGAGAGGGTCCTGCTACAACGCACTCTTCTGTTGTGCATCATTTTGGCCTGGGCTGTTGCTCATACTGGGATTTGTTGGTGCGTCTCTCGTCTTCTGCGGTGGTCGGTTGGCATAGACGTCAATCCCCTTCTTGTGTTGTGCTGCCGCTACATTGCTGGGATCATCCCGCCTGGAGAAAGCGGCCAGTGGCAGCTTGGCCCAATGGTTTTCAAGCTTATCACATGATCGTGCATCGTGCCACGGTGGTGCCTAATCTTCGTCATTTCAGGCGTTTGGGTTGCGTGTCGGCGCAGTTGTGTGGTATTGGTTCGAAGCTATATCACCCAGACTCGCGTGGTGGTGCATGGTGGTTTGGGAGTTGTTCGTGTTTGGGCTGGTCGGAGCACATTATTGTGGCTGTTAAGGAGAAGGAGAGAACCTATTTGTCGTCAAAGCGATGTGAATTACCTGTCTGGGTGAATGGCAGCGTATTGGTAGGTAGTCATCCGAAGTATCAAGCAATAGTTCCATGTTTTTTTATCTTGTCAATCGTGTACGTGTTGATAGACTCCATCTTCCTGTGCATTGCTACTCGTCTTTGCACAGGGGATGGGGCTCACTGGTTGTGACGCTTCGCGTCTGTTCCGATTTCGATTCCTTCTCGTCCTCCTTCTCCTGCTCCTCCTGCTTCTTCTCATCTACGCCCCTCCATCCCTTCTTCTCCTCCTCCCTCCTTCCTCTCCCTGCTCCCTGCTCCCTGCTCCCTGCTCCTGCTCCTGCTCCTGTTCTTGCTCCTGCTCCTGCTCTTCTTCCACCACTGACAGCTTTCGCATGCGGGTCCGCGCCCAATTCGGCACATACCTGGGGATCACGCGTGGGGAAACGCATTTCGTTCGTGACCAGTCTGGCTTCCACCCTCAGGGCTTCACAGCGTCCTCGGATGCGGTCCCCGACCTCCCGACCCGGTCGGCACACCCCTCACACGGGTCCGGAGCTCCACGTCCGACCAAAGAGGGGGTACTGCACGCGGACCCCGTCCCAAGTGAGCACGCCCCTCACATCCTCGCACATGTATCTTGCCGTACAAAGAGCTCACCGCGCCTCTGCGCGCCCGATCCGTAACCCCCGATCCGCACTGCCTCGAACTCCATCCCTCCCGCGGCGCGCATGCGAGAAGAGGGCCCAGACCGTGCTACACACAACCACATGTATCATACATAGGGGTCGGGCCCTTCGCCAAACAATGTTTTGTCCAAGGTGCCCTATGTGAAGGCCGCCAGCCCGCTGGGCAACTTCACCGACTGACTGACTGACTGAAGCCGTGCATCCCTGGCGGACGCGTGGGCAAATTGGGCGAAACAAACTATCACGGAATGTACAACTGCACAAGCACAGGAGGAAGGAGAAGGAGGAAGGGGGGGAGGAGGGCATATTACAAAAATCTGTAAACTGACGTCGCCCATTGTTGTCTAGGGCGGCCCCGGCGCCTGCGGAGGGCCCAATTCTTTGGGGCACCGTCGGCGTCGCACACTAATTGTTTAACTCGTGAAGCGTCGCTCTGGGAAGCAATTTTCATATATAGGTATACTTGCCGATCGCGTAAAATCGCGGACAGGGGCTTGGAGCCGGCGTGTCCAGCGCAGTATCATTCGAAATTCTGGAAAAGTAAGAAGGCGGTATCCTCAGTATTTTTCTCAAGCGCTTGCAGTGGAAGGCGTCCAACCTGTCGTTGTCCTTTTTCAGGAGCCACAACGAATCAAGCGAGTACAACAGTTTGCTCAGCACGCAAGAAGAGTATATCTGAAGCTTTCGTTTCTTGCCAATACCAGAGTGCTTCCATACTTTACATAAATCTTGAAATATTGAGTTTGCTTCTCCCAGTCGTCTTGATAACTCGCTTCCAACGCGTCCATCATTCGTTATCAAACCTCCCAAATAAACAGCTTGCTCCACGATTTTGATCGGCTCCCCGTCCGCGTTCTTGACGCAGTCGCTGATAGATATTTGCACCTGCACTGTTTTATCCCAACATAGCTCGAGGCCGTACTTCCTCCCTTCCAGCACGATAGCTTCCAGCATGCGTTGTAAACTGTCGGCGCTCCGGGATATCAGCGCGGTGCCGTCTGCGTACAACGCGTCGTTTGTGACCACGTAATCAGGATCTGCATCAAGATGGAGATCACCAAAGGCGTCCTGCAGCATGACCGTTTGCACTATGATGAACAGATATGGCGATAAAGGGCATCCTTTGGCGATGCCTGCTGCTGACGGCGTTCTGAAGATTTCCCACAATGGTCAGCAATAGCAAAAGACCGATGCGAATCTATGCCTCTTATCATGTCAACCATAGGCGGCGGCAGGCCAAAGCGAGCCAGCGCAGCGCATAGACAATCAGGCTTTAAGCGGTCGAAAGCTTTGGCCCAATCCAGAAAAAAATAAAATAAGCCCACCTCTGTTTTTTAACAGAGCTGCATCAATCATACGCCTCACCAGCATAAGAGCGTCGGCCGTACCGCAGCGAAGGCGAAACCAATCAAACGCCTCACCGCATGCGCGATTCCGCCCCTCCTCGTAGTAGTCGTTGGTGCAGCATGGCCGCCAATGCTTTGTAGCCCACAGACAATAACGATATTGGCCGGTAATTACTCGGTAAAGTGGCATCCCCTTTTTTGAACAACAAAATAACGTTTGCTCTCCGACACTTGTCTGGTATATCCTTTGTCTCCCAACATTTTCTGCACACTTCCAGTAATGCTTCACATGCGCCCTCATCTCGAGATACAACCTTCCAAAAATCGAGCGGCACATCATCCGGCCCAGCCGCCTTTCCATTCTTCATTTCTTAAGCACATGTTGTAGTTCAGCCATGCTGAAGTTAGACACGACCACCGGCAAGTCATCACCCAATGCATTCGAGGCTGTTGGCACTATGTCTGCAAACTGCACTCTCCACTGTACTTTCTCGAAGTAGTCGGCTAAAGCGTCTGGCCGGACAGCGGCATCCGTAAGCTGATTGTCAAGACCTCGTACTCCAGCATGTCGTGTTTGCGTTTTTTTCCTAAGCCTCTTGACTGCGTCCCAGCTGCCGCCAACCAACGTCTAATATATCCAATTTGTGCGTTCCTTCAGAGCGGCTTTCCGGATAAGCTTGTTCATGACTCGCTCCTCGTTGGCGTCTCCATTTCGTCGTGAAGCGTTCCGTTTTTCAATAAGTGTCAAAGTATCTTGAGAAATCCACGGCCTGTGTGCAGATTGCTGTCTGCTCTGCAGGGCGCCGCACGCGGTAGCAAATGCATTGTCCACTTGATTTGCCATTTGGTTGAGCGAGCTGTTTGCGACGTACGTTGTCTTCCAAGTATTGAAGAAATGGCGTGTGAACTCCTTCTGGATCGTCTGGTCCCGCACCGAGGCTTTGTCAATGTGGTTCTGCGTGCGGGCTGGCTTAACTTGAAACTGTATCCCAATCGACGCTGTCATCAGATAGTGGTGGCTATTAAGGGCTACGTCCCGGTGCGATCTGCAGAGCCTGACCCAAGGAAGAACAGATGTGTGACACAACACGTGGTCGATCTGAGCGAACTTCTCCGGGGTAATGTCGGGGCCCGTGGAAACCACACCAAGGTTTCTGTACGAGACGCGTTGCTCAAGAGGAGTGTCGAAGAACGTACTCGCGATGGCCATGTCCGCAGCCACGCAGTATTCGAGTAGAAGTTGTCTATTCGATATTTGATGCCGATGTAAAAAACTACGTAGGCCATCTGCCACAAAAAAGTGTCTACCAATGTAGGTCTCTTCGCCGGGTCGTCGCTGCAGCAACTTAGCGTTAAGATCTCCCAGTACGATTGTAGTGCCATGTTGTGTTGTCGGCCGTACTGCTCGCAACAAGTCTGCGAAGAACGCTTGACGGCTCTCGTAGTCGTACCCGCTGTGAGGGGCGTAAACATATAGTATGGTCAATACACCATGTTGTACCCGGACTCGCAGTGAAGCCAGACGCTATGAAATCGCGCGGTGAAGCCAGACGCAACTTCACCGTCCTTGCCCTTTTCTTCCCTTGACCTCCTCGCCTCACCGTCTTCCTCCTCCTCCTCCTCCTCCTCCTCCTCCTCCTCTCTTCTCCTCTGTCTGCTCCTCCTGCCTCCTCCGCCATTTATCATTATGCCTCCCCTTTCCTTATCCTCATTCTCCTTCTTCCTCCTGCCCCCTCCCCGTGTAGGAGTACACCCCCCGGGAGTTTTTTCATGGGGGTTATAGCTGCGTGGACTGTAGCATGTGTGGAGCCCTGTAGAACCCTCCAAGCCTTCAAGATGCGGACCGTGACCGCAGATGCTCGAGGCCCTCGGTGCTCCATCCTCCACCCCTTCCTCCCTCCTCCTCTCCTCTTCCCGTGGCCCCCCTCCCGTCTCCCACTCTTCCGCTCTTCTGCTTCCTCCTGCTCCTCCAGCCTCCTGCTCCTGCTCCTCGTGCTCCTCCTCCTCCTCCTCCTCCTGCTCCTCCCCCCATCTGCTGCCACCTTCTCCTCCTCCCCCTCATCCTCGTTCCTCCTCCTCCTCCTCCTCCTCCTCCTCACTCCCTCCTGCTCCTCCTTCCTCCTCCTTCCTCCTCCTTCTCCTCGACCTCCTCCCTCGTGCATCCCGCCCTTCTCCTGCTGCCGCCTCCACGGGCGCAGGCGTGGGCTCCGGGATGTCCTCGACGGAGATCCCGGAGACAGTGTAGCCTCGGCACGCGCGCGGGTGCCGCAGGGCTGCTGGCCCGAGCCCTCGGTACCCGCCCGGTTCGACTTCGGTCGTACCCCCCTTGGGGGAATGTATGCCTTACCTGCCACGCGTCGTCGGCGCAGCTTCTGAAACATGCGAAGGAAGGGACACAGGGGAGGGAGAAGGACGGAGCGCAAGAGAGATGTGCAGGAGGAGGGTAAGGTGCAGGAGTACTAGCGGCAGAACCGGACTGGCAAGTCGGACAGGAGGACCCTAACGGGCAGGTCGGGCGGGCGGACCCAGACGGCTGGTTCGAGCGGGCGGGTCGCTGAAGCGTCAATCCAACATGAATCGCAAAGAAGTTTCGAGCGATAACGCGATTCCCAAACAAATCGTGAGGAAACCTCACGCGCGAGCGTGAATCCTGACTGTCTAGAGCGAGACTCCTGCATACATTATAACGACAAATCCCGCGCGAGAGCGCGATACTGACATACATGGTAAACAAGTATCATGCGGGAGTCCCGCGCGGGAGCCGTTGTTGGTCGTGGTGGTGTTATTCATTGTGCTGCTGTTGGTGTTGTTGTTGGTATTGGTGTTGGTGTTGTTGTTGAGCTCTCATTTCTGAAAATAATTATTGTTGATCCTCTGGAAAATAATTATTGTTGATCAAAATGTGCCCCTCGACGCTCGCACCCTGTTTTGACAGGGAAAGACTTGCTGCTCAAACTGTGCCCCTGGCCCCACGGATTGCAGCAACAACGGCTCGCGCCTGAGACTTCCTCCAAATTTGCTCAAGACCACCGCTCCTGAGACCTCCTCACAATTTACTCAGGATCGGTGCTCCCGCCTGTGACTTCCTCGCAATTTAGTCAGGACCCCCGCTCCCATCTGAGACTTCCTCACAATTTACTCAGGAACGGCGCTCCCGCTTGAGTCTTCGCCGCAATTGAATCAAGACTTCCTCGCAATTGAATCAAGACCCCTGCTCCCGCCAGAGAACCCTTCACAGTTTATTCAAGAATTGCGCTCTCGCCTGCGATTTCCATGCGATCTATTCAGAAATCGCGCTTTCGATGCTCAGGAAACACGCTGCGCCAAGGACGCCGTTACAATTTATTTAGTGATCGCGCTCTCGCCATCCTCAGGCATCCCGCTTGACTGTCCCACCCGCCCGACCCGCCCGTCAGGGGATCGCCCGCCCGTCGTGGGCTCCCGCCCAAGACTTCCTTCAGGAACGGCGCTTTCGCCTAGGACTTCCTCGAACGTTCACGATCTTACCTTCCTGCTCCTCCTCCCTCTCCCTCCTCCTTCCTCCCTCCTCTCTTCCCTTCTCTCTCCCTCCTCTTGTCCCTCATCCTTATGCCTCTCTGCCCTATCCCCTCTCCCTCCTCTCCCTCCTCCCTTCTCCCTTTCCTCTCCTGCCTCCTCCCTCCCCCATTTGTTGTTTCTCTCTCTCTCTCTCTCTTCCCCCCCTCTCTTTCTCCCTCTTTCTCTACCTCTCTTATCTGTATTTCTTTCTCTCTCTCTCTCTCTCTCTCTTTCTCTGCCTCTAATCAACCGCCCCTCTCTTCGCTCCTTCGCTCCTGGCGTTTTCCCTCTTTCTTCGTCCCTCCCCTTCCCTTCCTCCCACTCTCCCTCGTTTTCTCCCTCCTCTTTTTGCAACTACAACGAGGGAGCCTTCTGGCGCTCCGGCGCCCCTGCCGGGCTCTCATAGGACCGTCCCTTCAGGACCTTTTCCGGCGCTCTCTCTCCCTTTCTCTCTCTTTCTCTCTCTCTCTCTCTCCCTCCTCTTTTTGCAGGGCCCACACCAATTCCAATGGCGGGCACATGTACGCCCACGAAGGATTGTCCGCCCGTTCAGGTTTGCCCGCCTGTCTAAGCCAGCCGCCCCCCGCAAAGAGAAAGAATCCCCCCAAAGGGGGTGTGATCGAATGCAAAAAGAGCGGGTATCGAAGGTGTGGGGAACTCGTTTTGAATGACACGCGGGCAAGTAAGAGCGAACAGTCTTGTCATGATTGTTGTTCTTGCTGTTATTAGTGATGTAGTTGTATTGTCGTACATGTTGTTAACATTGTTGTTGAATTCTTACTTCGCTAACCTATGTATCTTTCAATTGAGGTGCTTCTCCCGGGGCTCGCACCCTGTTTTCCACAAGGGGAAAGCAAGGGGACACCAAACTGGACCTCTGGCCCCCGCGATACATCAAAAACGGCTCCCGCTTTCTACCCCTCACAATGTATTCCCGAATCGCGCTCTCGCGCGGGACGTCCTCACAATGAATGTAGGAATTGCGCTCTCGCGTGGGACTTCCTCGCAATGTATTCAGACGCTGCGCCCTCCACACTCAAGAATCATTCTCTCGCAATGGATTCTCTCATGACATATTTGGGAATCGCGCTATCGCTCTAGAATTCCTCGCGATTCATGCAGGACGTACGCTTCAGCAAACCGCCCGCCCCTTGTCCCTCCTTCCATCCGTCCTCTCTTCCCCTGCCTTAGGGGCTGCACGACATACACGTTGCAGGTAAGGAAGATATACCCATAAATGGGGTACGATCGAAGACGACGAGGGCGGATATCGAGGGTTTCGGAATGTACGTGTTGACTGGCACGCGAGCAGGCAAGAGCGACCAGTCTTAAACTGATTGTTGCTGTTGTTGTTGTTGTTGTTGCTGTTGTTGTTGTCGTTGTTGTTGTTATTGTTGCTGTTGTTGTTGAATTTTCGCTTATAAGCAATAAAATATGGTTGTTTCCCCTCCAGTAACCATGGTACGTTTCACTTAAAGTGCTTCCCCCAGGGCTCGCACCATGCCGTTTACAAGGGTCACCAACCTGTGTTATTGGGACCCGGTTTGCAACAACAGCGGCTCCCGCCTGATACCTTCTCACAATGTATTCCCAACTCGCGCTCTCGCGCGGGACTTCCTGACAATGTATACAGGAATCGCGCTCTCGCGTGGGACTTCCTTGCTATTTCTTCAGACGCCGCGCCCTCCACACTCAAGAAGCATTCTCTCGCTGTGGACTTCCTTATGATGTATTTGAGAATCGCGCTATCGCTCGAGACTTCCTCGCTATTCATGCTGGACGCACGCTTCAGCAACCCACCTGCCCCTTGTCCGTTCCTTCCATCCGTCCTCTCTTCCCCTGCCTTAGGGGCTGCACGACATACCCGTTGCAGGTAAGAAAGATCTACCCCTAATTTGGGTACGATCGAAGACGAAGAGGGCGGGCATCGAGGGTTTGGGATGTACGTGTCGAGTAGCACGCGAGCGTAATGTCTTTGCTGTAGTTCGGAGCCCAACAACTCATTCCGATGAATACTACTTTTCAGTGTAAAACAAGGTGCGAGCCTTGAGGGGAGCACTTCACTTGAAAAACACAGTCCACCGCAGGGATGGAACAATCATACTTGTTCAATAGAAACGAGGAGTCAAGATCATCAACAACAACAACAACAACAACACTAACAACACCGGTGACAGCAATAACAACAGCAACAACAATACATCAACGACAACAAGGCATCACCAACAACAACCACAACAACACCACCAACAACAACAGCAACAACCACGACAACGACGCAACCACAATGCAACAACGCATCAACAATCCGCACCGCGGAACCCCACTCCAGCCACGCGCCCAGGAGATAACGAATGACCGTTCGGCCCCCTCGCTCTGACGTAAAATGCGCGCGTGGATGGGGTGCTTGCCATCGCTCGGACGTCCATTCCCCGTGCATTTTTCGATTTCGTGCGTGTTTTTGTGGCTCGATGATCCAGGATGCTCCTCGATGGCTCTTGCCGAGGAAAAAATGCACACGCCCGAGCGATGCCAGGGGTGTATCCAACATGCGCCTGGCTCGTGCAAGTTGGGCACCTCGCTTCACGCGCCCAGGACCCCAAGGGGGGATATCCGACATCGGGGCAGGGGATGCTCCCACACGTGAGAAACATACGTGCGCGGAGGGGTCTCAAACACGCGTCCTGCGTGTGCGCGGTCGGCACGTGTCTGCTCGCGTGCGGGCTGGGCTCCCAGGAGGATATCCAACACATGCGGCCGGCGGATTCTCGTTCGCGGAAGGGATGCATCCAACATGCGCCTGGAGCATGCGCGTTTGTAGTGTCCGAGGTACCACGCATGGTCTGGAGGCAATCTGACGCGCTGGCCGTCTGGAGGCTCGCACACCGTCATCTCAAGCATGATAAATGAAGAAGAGTCTGAATCGTGCGAGCAACGGCCTGCAGAGGGAGCGGCCGCGCCATCCCCAGCATTGCGCCAGGCCGTGGCGATAGAGAACTGATGCACAATTTCGGCAGCCGCTCACTCCCTCAGACGGCGTCCAGACAACCCCAGCAAAATCACCGATGACAACAACATCAGGAACCTCCACCCGCGAACCTCGGAAAACGAGGGCGAGGAGGAGAAGGAGGAGGAGGAGGAGAAGGAGGAGGAGAAGGAGGAGGAGTGCAGGCATCCGATGGAGAGACGCGTGCCCTGGCTATGCAGCGGGCTGAAGGGGTCGCGCCACAAGCGCGCCGCTCACAACCGCTGGATTCGGAATTGACGAGGCAAGCGCGGAGCGGAAGCGGAGTCGGACATGAGAAGGATGAGGACGTTGAGGAGTGGACGCAGTCCTGGGGGACGACGAGGAAGACGAGGCACAGCCTTCCCCCGGTGCCCGTGCGTCCTTGTATCTCTTGGCTGCGGGCCTGGATGACCACGTTACGCAAGAGCGCAGCATCGATCAATTCCAGCTGCCGACACCCGAGGAGGCACACGCAGGGCGACCCTCGCGGCGCACAGGAGGACGACGAGGAAGATGATGAGGATGGGGAGGACGACGAAGAATAAAACCTCCTCCCCCGTCCCGTTGGCACGCCCGGAACGGGTACGGAAACCATGGATACGGTGCCCAGCAAGCAAATTTTCTCCCAAACAGACAGCGGCCACTGTTGGGCGGGCGACCTGGCGTCACGAATGTACGGCGCCCGCGGCGACACCCACAACGACTCCTGCTCAGAATGGGCAGGGACTGCTGCCGGTCTTCGTTGCAACTCTTGGGGCAGGAGACAGAGAGCGGCGTGCCCGACCCAGCTCGTGTCGAAACTACTGGCCCATGCCGATCCTCCAGGGCCTCCTCCTCCGCGGACGAGGGCGAGGCCAGCGCACTCGCCGTCCCAGGTGCACTTCCCGTCCATGATGTTGTTGTCCCCGTGCTCGGACGCGGCGCCGTCGAGCCAGCGCCTCGGCCGCGGGCTCCCCCCTCCTCCTCCTCCTCCTCCTCCTCCTCCTCCCTCCTCCTCCTCCTCCTCCTCCTCCTCCTCCGCCTCCTCCTCCTCCTCCTCCTTCTCCTCTCCTCCTCCTCCTCCTCCTCCTCCTCCTCTCCTCCTCCTCTCCTCCTCCTCTCCTCCTCCTCCTCCTCCTCCTCCTCCTCCTCCTCCTCCTCCTCCTCCTCCTCCCTTCCTCCTCCTCCTCCTCCTCCTCCTCCTCCCTCCTCCTCCTCCTCCTTCCTCCTCCCCTCCTCCTCCTCCTCCTCCTCCCCCTCCCCCTCCTCCTCCTCCTCCCTCCTCCTCCTCCTCCTCCTTCCTCCTCCTCCTCCTCCCTCCTCCTCCTCTTCTTCCTTCTATTATTCTTCTTCTTCTTATTAATTCTTCTCCCTTCCTCCTCCTCCTCCTCCTCCTCCTCCTCCTCCTCCTCCTCCTCCCCTCCCCCTCCCCCTCCTCCTCCTCCTCCTCCTCCCCCTCCCCCTCCCCCTCCTCCTCCTCCTCCTCCTCCTCCTCCTCCTCCTCCTCCTCCTCCTCCTCCTCCTCCTCCTCCCTCCTCCTCCCCCTCCTCCCCTCCTCCTCCTCTTCCTCCCTCCTCCTCCTCCTCCTCCTCCTCCTCCTCCTCTCCTCCTCCTCCTCCTCCTCCTCCTCCTCCTCCTCCTCCCCCTCCCCCTCCCCCTTCCTCTCCCCCTCCTCCTCCTCCTCCCCTCCTCCTCCTCCTCCTCCTCCTCCTCCTCCTCCTCCTCCTCCTCCTCCTCCGCCTCCCCCTCCCCCTCCCCCTCCCCCCTTCCTCCTCCTCCTCCTCCTCCTCCTCCTCCTCCTCCTCCTCCTCCTCAGCCCTTTCCCCCTCTGGGGCCAGGGGGGTGGGCGCGCGTACTTGGAAGGGGCGCCGCGCGCCCGAGCTGATGTCATGGCAGACGCAGGCGCTGGACACGATCGTCACGGCGGCCGTCCGCGTGACCCTGCAGATGCAGGGGCGACAGGCGCCGCCTGGCAGCTGGTCGAAGGCGTCTGGAGGCGCGGCGATCGAGGCGCCGCCGGGCGTCTGGCGGTCCCCGTCGCCGCAGGCGGAGGCCCGCCCGCAGCCGCGGCCTCGGCCGACGGAGGCCCCGAAGGCCAAGGCGATGCCGCCGCGGCCCTCTGCAGCGCCGGAGCGGCTCGCCATCGCGGACGGCAAGGTGGACGACCAGCCCCGCAAGCGCCGCTGGACGCGGGTGACGGATTCGCAGCCTGCGGCTGGTCCGAGCCTCAACTCGCAGCAGGAGGTGGCCGTGAGCAACGTCGTGGACTCCGACGCGGAGGTGCGGGCGGAGCTCAAGCGCCTCAAGGCGGACATCGAGGCTGCGAGGCTCCGCAAGGTGGAGAAGAAGGAGAAGAAGCGGGCCAGGAAGGAGGAGGAGAGCAGGCGCCAGGCGACGCTCGGTTCGGCACCCTGGAGGAGGAGCCGCAGCAGGGGCAGTCGGTGGTGATGTCTGACAAGCAGTACGAGGAGGAGAAGGTGGAGCTCAAGGCGATCCCGCCTTTCCCGCTGTTCGTGGGCTCGGAGGTGCTGAACGTGGAGGAGAAGCTCAAGGCGCTCCCGCCTTTCCCGCTGTTCGAGGGCACGGAGGTGCTGAACAAGGAGGAGGCCGTGCTGCAGGAGGTCCGTCGAGTGGTTCTTCTTCATAGCGTGGGCGAGCCGGTGGTCGAGCTGGCCGACGGCGACGAGAAGAACTACAAGGAGGAGGACATGGAGGACCACAAGGAGGAGGTCGTGCCGCAGGACGTTCGGCAGCTGAACGCCGAGAGCTACCGCAGGTTCGAGGCGGTTGCGGCGGCGAGGCGGCTGGCCACAGACGTCGTCACAGGCACGATGCTCGAGAAGGGTGAGGTCGTGCCTGGCGAGGTGCACTTGACGGGCACGGTGAAGGAGAAGCTGAAGAAGGAGGTCATGCGCCAGCGGGCGGAAGAGTGCCGGCAGATCGTGAGCGACCTCGCGACTGATGCGGAGGAAGGGCTCTTCGGCGAGGATGCGGACTTCCTCGAGCTCCTGTACGACGGTGTCGCGTACTGGGACCTCGTGGTGGACAAGTTGGAGGTTCACTGAGGGAGGAGGTTGGGGAGGGGGCCTTACCAGACTATGGTTGGGGGTCCCTTGCCCCGCCCCCCCCCGGCGTCCTCCGCGGTCTTGGGCCTCGGGTTGGCCGCCGCCCCCTCTGGTGGGCCTTGCGGGCCTCCGTGGGGGCGGCCCCGCAGTCTGGGGTGGGCCCTCTCCCCAACTGCCCTTCTGCGCCTGCGGGCGAGCGTGCTTTCGGGCACGAGGTAGTCTCCAGTCGCCAGCCTCCTCCTCCTCCTCCTCCTCCTCCTCCTCCTCCTCCTCCTCCTCCTCCTCCCCCTCCTCCTCCCCCTCCCCCTC